AAAAAGGTACTCCAGAGTGTTGTTCAGCATGGGGGTGAGTAGAAAATGAAGGCTAATCATGTTTTGGGTGTACTATTCCTTTAAAATAGCACTGCTGACATCTTCCATACTTTTGTTGGAAATGTGAAACTGTTTTTGAAGTAGAACCCTATTCTTGCATTACCCATTAATATAGAAGACCAGTCAGCAGGATCTAGTTATGCAGCTCCTACATCACTGCTCTGTGCTAAATCAGAGGAGACAGTTACAGTTAAAGCATTACAAGAGGCAGCTGAGAAAGATGAGACAAAACAGCTGCAAAACAGCAAAGGAATGTAAGCTTGCAGTCCAAGGTTTGGCAGATGCTGGATAGTTCAGTTCAGTTTATTTATATAGCACCATGTCCTGACACGTCATTCAAACAAATCATAGAGAAAGTTTGGTTAAAGTTTTCTATCTAGGAAACCCTGCAGATTGCATCGAGTCATTGACTTTGCAGAATTCACTTCTCCTAGATAAGTAGGCAGCGACAGTGGGCATTCGCTTAAACTGTGTCGTTTACAGAAATCATTCACACTGAGCCTGTGACAATGCCAAACATGCAGGTTCAGTGTGAATGGCCCTCTGTTGTGGTCGACTGGGGTTTAAAAAAAAACAGAGGCAGAAACACAAAAGGAAGTTAGCAGCACTGATCCATAAATACTTTTCAGGGCTAGCTCCATAAGTGGCCTTTTCTTTTTTTAGACAAAGCCATATATGTAGGTAGGTTTGTTCAGCGATATCTAGGATTTCCTATGTCTCTCCTAGACACAGCGATGGGCTCAGCTTTAACTGTCACTGCTCTCCTTCATTCTTTTGTCCTATAAATCAGCTCCAAATTCATCTGTCTTAACATTGAAAACAAGGGCTAGCTAAATCATCTATAATTGAAGTTGTTGACAGCAGCAGCCCAACTAATGCTTCCCTCCAGGATGGTGTCACAGCTAAACAGAGAGCTTTATGTTCTGAAGCAGCCTAAGCTTATTTTTGGAACTGTATCTGAAAAGAGAAACAGAAATGTGGTGCTGATAATGAGCCACTTTAAGCTTGCCCAGTACTTTTCTAAACACAAACAGCAAGACAGTAATTACTCATTTCATACTAGATACCCATTGTGCAATATTTTATTAATATTGTTATATAGGACTACATGTAGTCTTAAATGTTGATTATGATTTTGTGATACGACTTATGTGTTTATGTTTATATTTTCCTTAAGGTAAAGGCTACATCAGAATAAGGTTTTGTAGCAGGTTGAACATGATCAGAATTGATCTTATTAAGCATTGTATCCACACTACTAAATTATTTTTGTCATGCCTGGAAATCAACATTTACTTGGAAGCACCACCATGGATTTACTAGGTTTTATTCTGACCAGTCTTCTTTCAAATTTTGTTTTAATGACAATGCAAACAGGCTACTCTGTCTAAAATGCAGTGAGCACCAAATTAGATCTGATTTTGGATCACATCACCCATTTTTGGTCTAATGTTATTTTCAATTAATCAAAATCAGTTTCTTAGACAGGACATAACTGCAGCAGGACATAACTAATAAAATATACTGCATAGGCTATTTTTTCACCTGACTACTTCCCAATATCCCAATATTGTTGGATCCATTGATGAGTTTTAATATTATATAATTAGTCTGCAAAGTTCACATATTATCATCCAGAGTAAACTCGCTTAAACTAGTAGTCCACTTTCTAAGTGGGTGGGATCTCAGCTTCATGCAGCTTTGCTGTATAAGTTTCATAATGTTTGTAACATAGTGGGGACCAGGGGCGGCATATGGGGAAAAGTTAGGAAGAGTCTAAGGGCCCTAGGCTGAGGGGGGGCCCAAAAGAAGAAGAAAATATATTTCCCACTAGATATTTCAAATATAAAAAGAAAACCTTGGAGTAAAATAAATAATCTTAGAATCAATGTCTTTCATTGGACCCCAAATTCTTGGTGGCTCCCCTGGTGGGGACACATGGGCAGCTGTGGGCCACATTACAGTATGTTTTGGAATAGGAGATAAGAATAAGAGTTGAATAAATTTTTTTTTCTACATGCAATACGTAGTCTCGTGTTTACATTAGTAAACATGACAGCATGTTGTGTGGCATCTCACCCCCAAACAGCAGCAAAAGCAGTTGCATCCCCCTCAAATTGTGGCATCTCCTTAAAATATTGACACCTGCCATATCGGCACCTAAACTATCTATATTGGAAAAAGTACATTTGTAAGATGTATAATTTATATACTGCTCTTAAATATTGCTTGCTTGACTATATCACTCATTATCTAAGTCCTAGATAATAAGAATGGTTTAATTTTTTTATTGATCATCTAGTCATTGTTTCTTTTCTAGAAAGTTATTGCAGGGAGAAAGCAAGTCAGACCACAGAGAGGAGAATGTGAAACAGATGTGATTGTAGGATAATCTCTAATAAAATATTGTATATGTCCATGGATAAATAAAATCTAAAGACATAAACTTAAAAACGAAAATCCCAGCTAGTTGGGCAACTGTAATATGAGTGCATAGCCCTTACAAAGAAGATAGCTGAGCCCCAGCTTAAACGAACAGGGTAGAGGTATGGGTGTCACGGAACACAAGCTCTAATTTCAATATTATTGTGATAAAAAGCAATAATTATTTTAGTTGAATCGGATGCCAACATCTGAAAAAACCCCTTCCTCAATGCTAACATCTACAGCCGGTGTTTCATACCTATTGGGATGAAAGGTGGTGTTTGGCTGGAATCCAGCTGACTATCCTGATCCTCGATCTCTTCCTCTGATTTTATGATGATTTCTTCAATATCTGTAAATGTTTCTTCGGTAGGAGTTAACTCCTCGTTGATAGCGTCTCTCTGAAGCTGAGCTGAAGACATTTTTAGAGCAAAATTTCACATATTTACCTTTAAAAACCCAATCCCCTCTACAAACTACCTTCCAGCTAGAAAAAAAAAAAAAAGCTAACGCTAGTTCTCTGAGTGTCTCACTGTAACTGTACCGAGGAAACTAAAATCCAGGTTAAGTTCCGCTTTGATTTTTTTCCGACATCGACCCGAAATATCGCTTATAATTTAAATCATATAAAATAAATTCAATAAAAAAACAATAATGCATTTCCGTAGCTCAAAAAGGTACTCACTGAGTGAAACACATGAATTAGATAGACTCATGTTTTCACAATTGATTTTCTGTTCTTTATCACGATTTTATAATTACAACTATAATGAAAACATGAATTATTAACTGTATTACATCAGACTAATAAATAGAAAACATCCAAAAACGTATTTTCCCAAAAATATAATAAACCCTAATATAAAAATCCTAAAAACTCATTATAGAAACGTGTAAAGCGAAGAGAAATAGGAGAGGTAATAAAGTTGGGATATAATCCATTCAGAAATCTTAATTTTCTTCACCTGAAGAACTTTCTCCTCCCTCCTCTGTTTTTTCTCACCATATATTTCATAACTTTGCGTTCTTTCATTCATGCATCCATCTCTCTTATTCATTGATGCATTTATGCATGAGTAATTGATACTAATATGATGTTCTAACTACTCATGGGAGTGTGCCAAATAAATCTATCCACCCCTGCCTCGGTCTCCCTTTGGTTTTACATCTTTCTTATCCATATGGCTGGATCATAGTCCCTCCTTACCCCTTCCCTCCCTCCATATACTAGAAAGCTGGGTTTGTTGATAGACCATATGGTCCCATCATATGCCGTCAATTAATTCTAATGACAAGAGATTGGCAGGCATACCCTAACTGGCTGCAAACATGCCTTTTAAAAAATTTTTAGCATGCTAAATGCTTTTAAAAACAGAATAGGTATCTATTCTATTAAACAGAATGGCTGCACTTAATGTAAGAAAATAACACATTAGGATAGAGAAGTTATTTTTATATTCTCAATGCAGCATGTCTATTGCGATGTATAGAGACACTAAAAGATTTTGATTGCTGCATCCTTCTCTTAAAGTGCACTTAATGCAAAACCAGACCATTCCCCTGGTGCAAGTGAGACCCTGGTGCATGGGAAGTCAGCTTTCCACTTTTAGGACCCTGCTCCTCTCTGTATTCATGGCTCTTTTTCCATAGCTGGCTGCTAAACAAAGCATGGAAGTTTGTTCTCTGCTTATATTGAGCTTGATAGATGTCTCATGTCTTTGCTTTATACTACTTTATTATACCTCTCTGTTTAGGTTCCATACATCAGTGGAATTATTCCAGCTGTTATACAAAGTTGGATCATGTAACAGTCTGTTATATAATGGATGCTCACAGTGACCATGATCGGAGATAGAAATATATGATTTTGTGTCTTGTATTTTTTCATCAGATTGAGAAAAGCTGGTAAGCGGACATGATGTTTCAAATCCTGGTCAGTCTTGAAGGGAACATGCTGAGAAAAAGTCATGTTTTTAGGTTACAACCACCTTAATTCCACACTGGTAGTACTTAATTTTTTTAAGTTGTGTAGTTGTATTGCAAAGGCTGAAATCAGACGTCAGTTAAGGCCTTTTTTCATGACGGACACACCTTGTGAACTAAAAGTCCACCTGTTGATACTTGAAAGGAATAGATTACTACTATTTCCAACTCATTTGCTTTGACATACAAGATGCAGTAGAAGATTGGGTAGTGGCCGAAATTGGTCTATATATATATATATATAGCTGGAAGAATACGTATTGAACCATATTGAGCATTTTTCTCAGCAAAATATATTTGCTAGTGGTGCTGCTCAGATGTCAGTAACAATCCATGTAATACACACATACAAAGGAATCAAACTATAGATGTTCAGAAATTAAGTTCTATGTAATAAAGTTGAGCGAAATGGCACAGTCCAAAATATTGAAAACAGTAAACTGTATTTAATACTTTGTACAAAGCCTTTGCTGGTAATCACAGCCTCCTGTATGGAGAAATTAGTTGCATTCGTTGCTCAGGTGTGATTTTGGCCCATTCTTCCACAAAGTCTTCAAATCTTGAAGGTTTACCTGCTAATTCCAGGTCTTTCTGAAGCTCTCCACAAGTGGTTTTTGGCTCTTGGACAATTCTTCTGATAATTCTTTTCACTCCTCTGTCAGAAATCTTGAGAGGAGCCCCTGGTTATGGTTGGTGTATGGTTAAATTATGTTCTTTCCACTTCCAACATTCAGAAGTTTAGAAATCCTTACGTAGCCATTGCCACCATTATAATTTGCAACAATAAGGTTATGAAGGTCTTGAGAAAGCCAGTCTTGCTGCCTAGTTCTGATCTATCCGGAGTCTGCTGACGTCTTTTTGAGCAGCATTTGACCACATAATAGAGCAATAGTCCAAATGACATAAAAATAAAGACTGTATTACCATTTTCCTTGTTTCGATTGACATATAATTGGTGTTTCCTCTAATTGATGAGATGTTTCTGCTCATTTCAGTCACAATATTATTAATATGTGAAGACCAAGACATTGTTTGATCTAAAGGAGCACCCAATAGTTTAATTTCAGTCACCTGCCCAAAAGCTTGGTGGTTTAAAGTTATATTTAACATTGGTGCATCTCCATTGGGATGTTTCGGGCCTAACATCATACACTTTGTTTTTAACACATTCAGCTTTAACCTTTTCTGCACTACCCACTGATGCACCAATTATAGTTCTTGTTGTAGGATATTTTTAACCTGATACTGATCTGATGATAGACATTTACAGTTGTGTCATCTGCATAGACAGTCATACGGGCCTAATGCAACACATATGACATATCATTCACATAAATACTGTAAAGCAAGGGACCAAGAAAGCTGCCTTGTGGAATTCAAGGGTTACAGTGTCTGAAAATGAACCATGGAAACTAATACAGTTTTCTATCAACCAGGTAAGTACTCATTATATGTAATGCATGACCTTTGAATCCATATGCAGATAACTGGTCAAGTAACAGTGAATGATCCAGAAGAATAAAGGCCGCACTAAAGTCCAGAAATGCAATACCTACATTACTACTGAAAGTTTCTGAAGCAGGAGTTTATTTATAAAGATATTTCACTGAACACTTTTGTATATTTCTAACCCAGAACACCAACACATATTTAAAATTTCTTCTAACAGAAAGAAGTGCATGTTTTTTTTTCCTCCCATTCTTTCTCATCTTCTTCAGACTCTTCACTGCATGCTGGAGCACATCCTGTGTTGCCGCCATTTGGATGGGTCTCTATTCTCTAAGGTAGCCTGAACAAACAGTAGTAAACACTGAGTAACTGTGCCTGTATTTTCTATATATAATTGATTAACTTTGTTGAGAAATCGTTGTGAAGATAATTTTATTCTATAATCATAAATATCTAATACTGTGTGTATTAGTCCAACTAAAAAGACAGCTGCTGCAAAGTAAGGCCCTGTGACCTTTGAAATGGAAGTGCTATCTCCCTGAACAGATAAGAGGAACGGACCATGTCCTCTCAGTGGTGCTTCTTCCCACTAGAACAATTCCTATGCATTCCCCAGCTCACTAAAGGTGTCTAAGAAAGAAGAAGGTCATTACAAAGACAAATAAGTGTAAAGTCATCTGAAGGATCTTAAGAGAAGGAACCTTAAATCCTAAATAAGGAGCTGAAAGAGACTCAATCTCCACTCAGTTAGAATTAATTGATACATTTCAAAGTTATATTTAAACTCTTTTTCTGACTTTTGAAGGGTATTATTTCTTATACTAACTGGTTTTTATTATCTGAATTTCAGATCTTCAGATAGACCTCTTTCCAAATCAAGGCCATTTATTAGACCAACGTGCAAGGAGAGATTTCCCTCACAGTGAACCTCCACGGTCCCAAAGCTTTCACTTACTTGAGGGAATCGCAGCATCTTCCTCTCCAACATCCACATAAGAAGCTGTGAAAAACAATATATTTGAAGTGTTTTATTCCTGGTAATACTGGGCATTTTAAAGAATTATCTTCCCAGGACTAAATCTGTGCATGCATAACAAATATGAAGGACTGATGAGAATGTTGAAAATCAGAATTTAACATTATTTTTTCACCTGTACTGTGTGTGACACATTCAAAGGTACACTAGCTCATATGTTTTGGTTTGTGTATAAAAGAGCTGAAGCCGTTTGCCACATTTCTGTAACTTGCTTTTTTGTTGTCGGAAGGCAGTAGTCCCAATTTTACAAGAATCCTCCAAGTGTTTCCAAGGCTGAACTCTTAACTCTTTATCATGTCCATGTTAACTGCATCCAGGAAAAAAAAAAAAAAAAAAAAATATATATATATATATATATATATATTATTTTACATTACGAGTTTAATAAAAATTTAAATTATGAAGTACAAAAAAAATGACATTTGAGTATGATATTATTCATTTTAATGATGTAAAGGGCTGGTCTTCAACGTTTTCCAGGTCAAGGACCCCCAAACTGATGGCAAGATGGAGCGGGGACCCCCCAATTATATACATTGTATGAAAGTGTGATATATCAAACTGGTCCTATATAGTCACTCTATTACAGATGGATTAATGTAACGAAAGTAATTTCTCCCTGGGATTATTAAAGTATTTCTGATTCTGATTCCTGGTTGATGGACAGGTGTTTTGAATGAAACGGTGCCCAGCTTGAAAGAGCTCCTGTGTGTCGCTGAATGTGTGCATTGATGACTGAAACACATCTTCTCGCTCCATTAATCTGTTTACTACAGTGTGTTGAATTCATGTTAATGTGTATTTAAAGACATTTTAAATAGCAGAAAAAATTGCAGGGGGCAATATGAAAAAAAAAAAAAAAAGTCTAATGAACCAAAACTTACGCGACCCCCCATGAAGTACCTAACCCCGTGTTGAACACCTCCAATCTAAAGATTAAAACAAAGGAGGATTTTCATTAATACATAAGCATAATCTAACTTCTATCAGTTTAGGTCTAAAATATCTATTTATATATTTGATTTAAATGAGCTTTTACATAAGGGTAGAAATAATCCTAACTATACATAGAAACATATTGTCAATTTATTCCCATCAAACAGTTTCAAACTCAGTAACAACAATTTCAAATTTATGTTTATAGGCCATGTAATGCAATCCTATCAGCTGCATTTTTTTTTTTTTATATATATTATCTGGCAACTGTGTTTAAAAAAATAGTATTGAAATGTTTATGTTGCTTTACCCCAGCTAAGGTTTCCTGACTTTTTCCACACTATTTATTACTCCTCCAGGTGTATATAGCACTGGATTCAGTTAATTTTCAAAGCAGTCTCCTTTCATTGCATGGCTATTTAATCCAGGAAGCCAGCCTCCTGACCAATTATTTTATTTAAGGAGCTACATTGTCTAATGCATCATAAATGTGGGTAGTTACATGATAAAACACCAATTTGTTATGGTCAGATGTTTTCTTATTTTATCAACAGTAATGGATTTGTGACTACATACAGCAATAGATCAACTACAGATGAGATACAAAGCTGGCATCACCTTTTTTTTTCTTTTATGAGCCAAGTTAGTATGTTAATACATTAAGTAGTTAAAATATAAGAGAAAACAGATGAGCTACTTTGAAACATTGAATTTCTCTTTGGGATTAAAAAGTATTTTTGAACGGAATTGAATCACAAGCTGACTTGTAGAGTTCACTTTACCACACTATGACTGGATTAGAAATGATTTTTAAAATCAATCACATCTTGTAGAGATAATATATTTGTTGCCTCCCGCTTCATCCGAGACTGGGTCGCGGAGGCAACAGTCTCAGCAGAGACTCCCAAGCTTCCCCCTCTGCAGACAGCTCCTCCATCTCTGCTGGGAAGCCCGAGGCGCCTCCGGGGGCCAGCCGAGGGACGTAGAGATGAAATACTATTAAGAATAAATTTTGGAATTATGTTGAAGACCTGCTACAATTACGAAAAAAAAAGACAGACACCTTAATGAATTTACACCAACCAGGTTTTTATTTCTTACCTATTTATAACACTGAAAATGAAGAAAACATTCATATAAAAACTTCATTAAACTTCCATTTGTATGAAGTTCTATGGACAATATGAAAAGGCTGGGTTTTAGCTGAAAAAAAAAAACGATCACAAGAGGATCTTAAAAACCTGGCTATACATATAAAAGAAAAATACTTTTGAATCAGTCTTTTAAATAATTTCACCAACACATTCTTTAAACTGCTGAAACTAAACTTTCCTAAAAAAAAAAAAAGAGTCTGGTTACTGGATGAAAGGATGTACTTGATAAATGTCACAAGTCAGACTTGCTTCGTCAGGAATTAAGTCATAGAAGTTATATTTAGAGGAAGACAAACAATTAAATATTATCACTGTTTGGTACACTTCATAAACTCCCTTTAAACTAGGAAGCTACAGTTGGCACAACATTACATGATAGTGTAATTCAGGGGTCACCAAAGAACTGCCCGCAGACACAAAGGGGCCCTCTAGAACTACATGGGATGCTCTGAGTGTCTTCTGAGAACAGAAAAAAAAATCACCAATGGACTAAGTTTTAAACTTTTTTTGATTTTGTTTCTATTCTTTTTTTATAATTTAAAGACTATTTCATTATAGTAATCATATATATAGCGTTTAATCATTTATTCAAATTCCTTTATTAAAATATCCAAAATATATTTATTAAGTATGTGGTTTAGTTGAACACTCCAGTTCCTAGGTCAGTATTGGTAGCCCTTCCTATGACTCAGTACCCATGAAGTAGCTCTCAGCCTTAAAAACATTGGTGACCCCTGGTGTAATTAGTATTTTAGTGTGATTCTTTCAGTTAATCATTGCAGCATCTAAATGTTCAGTTACAAAGCACCCTAATGCTTTGAGTTTTACGCCTTCTCACCTGTGTGAATTCTAGTGTGACGCGTTAACTTGGATCTTTGCCTGAAGGTTTTTCCACAGAACATGCAGGAAAATGGCTTCTCACCTGTGTGAACCCTCATATGATAAGTCAAACTGCTTTTTTGGGTGAAACTTTTTCCGCAGGTCAAGCAGGAGAAAGGCTTCTCAGCTGTGTGAATTCTTGCATGAATGAGTAAAATGCTTTTGAAACTGAAGCTTTTTCCACAGGTGATGCATGAGAAAGGCTTCTCCCCTGTGTGGCCTTTCATGTGATAAGCTAAATTACCTTTTTGACTGAAGCTTTTTCCACACGTGACGCACGTGAAAGGCTTCTCACCTGTGTGAATTCTCATGTGTCTTGTCAGGTGACTATTTTGAGGAAAAATCTTGCCACAGATTTGACAGGAGTACAGATTCTTGAATGTGTGAGTTTTCAAAAGGCTGTTATTTTGTTTTGGCTCTTCATCTCTTCTGGATCCGGAGTCTTCTGGATTGTTTCCTTCCTGATCGGCTTGGTCAAGCTTGGTTCGGTTATGTTTAAAGGAGGATTTTTCCATATTACCAACAGTTGTTAAGTTATCTGTCTCCTGCTTCAACACAAGACCCTCCTGATCCTCACTGATGCAGAGTTCCTCTTCTTCCTCCTTTATCTCCAGATGCACCAGTTCTCCCTGCTCCTCTTGTGTCAGTAGGTGCTCTTGTTCCTCTTGGCCCCGTTTCATCTGCTGAAGTTCTGTGTCCTTTTGGTTCAAACTGGTTTCCTTCTCCTGGTTAGAGATCTGCTCTTCATCTTTGCACGAATAATATTGTGGCATATCTGGGAGAGAAGAAAGAAAACAGAAAAACATACAAATGTGAGTTTGAAAACAACCCTCTTTACTTTCATCAGATTGAAAATATTGAGCTTGAAATCATAATAAACAGAAATAAAGACTTAAGAACAGTCTGTGTGCTTTTAATCTGTATAATGTTTTTCACTTCGAGGTTCGAGGTATTAAGATTAATTCTCTCTTCAATGATTTTTGCATTTCTTGCACTTAAAAAACTTGAAATAATGTTATGTATTCCACTACAATGTATACCCTGTAGAATAGAAACTAGGTTATAAGAAAACAATACATTTTTTTTACAAGCAAGAGTTGTCTGAGTTTAATCGGTGACATAATCTACCATTTTCCCCATAACAAAGGAAGAAAATAATCAAAAAACTGCAGTTTCTTAAGCTGCTGCATGACTACAACCGAATGGCACCAATATAACTTAGTAAGAGCAGAATCTGAGGATCAACTTTTGAAAACGGTGTTATTTTATGATGTTATATAAACGGTGTTTATATTATCTGCAGGTCATACATTTTCCTACTCATACCTCAGACTATTATGCAGCTTTAAGTTGTGTCTCTTTCTGCCTCCCTAGTTGTCATCTTGGGTGGATTTCTTGTATCCGTGCTTTCTTTTCCTGTTTGGTCACTTCTGCTTTATCTCTTTCCACTTAAGGACACAGGGGTTAAAGGAAGAACAGATAAGCATAGAAACTATCCAGAAACACATTTTACTCGATGTGTGAATTAAATAATTTTAGCAGTGCTGGGTAACACATAGGCACTAAGAGTGCTAGATTTCTAACTATCAGGTTTAGTTCCATAAAGGCCACTGGCAGCACTGCACTGTTGCAAAATTAAACAGTCTCTCTTCGTGTTTTGAAAACTCAGTCCAGTTTCCTTTGGACCAGCAGACTGAGAAATCATGGAGTTACTTGTGTGTTTGTGTGTATATCACCTACATATTTATATGCAGGTGACTAATCATCACCCACAATAAAATTGCACAAGGAACTGTCATGCGTTATCATGTGTAAACTTCTGAGCCGTCCTGATCCTTCTTTGTAGTAAAACAATAAAAGCAGAACACAGAGATGTCCTGACAGAGTTGACCACACATATTCAGGGAGTGTAATTCTCCATCTGGGTCCACTCTCCTGTTTTGCAGAAAAGTAACTGATTGTGTTGGTTTATTTCTAGGACAATAAGGGGTTGTTATCATTAACCCGAACACACGTTTTAGACTCTCTAAATTCGGGCTTTTTAGGGCCGACTTTCCAGTCGTGTGAGAATTTTTCAGCCTGATCGTGCGTCGTGTAGTGTACAGGGGGTAACGAGGGGCGATCAGCCTCTTACAACCACCTCCCGATCAGGAATCGCGAGGTTGGGAGAAAATCATACATGTTTGATTTTCAGTCGACCGTCGTGGCCAATCGCTCAGTGGGCATGCGCAAACAAAGGATTCTTCTTCTTCCTCTTAGAAGCATGGCGGGGGTGTGAGTGAGATGGAGTTCTTTCTGTAAAATCGACAGACCATAGCAGCCACATTTCCTTAGCCATGTCTTTGTCCAAATACGTCACCCCCTTTTCTTCGTAGGGCCTTCTCAGCACACAAAATTGCACAAATTCAAATTGCCAAGGCAGCGCGTTTCACTCTAGTGAGGTTCATATTCCTCTTCTACTGGTTTGGCTTCCAGATAGAGTCAGAGTAGCACCATCTCACTGTGGAGCTCAGTCCGACGTCGTTTTTAGACGTACAGTGTGAGCAGGTAGATCGCATCAGAACGTCATGCCGCACAATGTGAGAAAATGCATAGTGAGCTGCGAACTCCGTAAGGTTTCGTTGTTCATTGTGAGCTGTAGCTGCATGCAACGACTGAAAAAAAATAATCACACTGTGTATGCCCAGCTTAAACTCCAGTTAATGATTAATCGATTACTAAATTAGTTGACAATTATTTCAATACTCGATTAATCACGATTAATCCGATTCATTGTTTCAGCCCTAGATAAAATTCAAGATGGATTTTGTGGACACTAAGAAGTAAGTGACATCCAGCTCAACTCAGACATCAATAGCAACTCCAGATAAGGTGAAAAAAAAAAATACTGGATAATTACTGCATGGGCGA